TCTAGTTATCGTGTTGTACAGACAGACAGACAGACAGACAGACACACACACACACACACACACACACACACACATACACGAACGCCCCTGAAAACATAACCTTCTTGGCGAAGGTAATGATCCCTTTGCTATTTGCAAATATTGTTCTTCTCACTGTTGAGTAGCCTTTTGCCATCACATTTGTTTACATCGTTGGGTGGCTGGGAGAAGGTAAACAAGAGAGCTATGATGAGAGACTTACCATTCTGTAATGTGATCGCTCTAGACTCCTTTCCGAAGCCATGGTGGAACCCCCGCACCATGCCAGCATTGCCTTTGCCATCTGGGAAGACAAGCAATAGTCCTGTCACTTTCTCTCATGGCCATAGGCACAGAGTGCAGGAAAACCCAAGAACCATAACAATCTTACAGTCAGGAGGTTAAGTCTAATAAATACAAAATAAATTCACTCTAATTACTCAAATAATAATAGATTAGTCAGTTATGAAAATATGCTTTGATCAAATGAAAAGAAAACAACACAATGTTTTTTTGGGCTAGAGTTTACTTTCACAAGTTGATGTTTTTTTGCCCAAATACTACTGATGTACAACGCAGCATTTTATATCGCCTAGTTAGGCAATGCACCACAACAGGCCTGACACTAGAACTACCCTCCACCTGCAATATGCAAATGAGCTTGCGGCCCCGTGGCTCACACGGTTAGGTTCCAACCATCAGCCGCCATCTTGCCAAAATACGATGGTTCGAATCCCACTCAAATCACTTCCACCAAATCTGTAGAAATTGTTATTTGAACCTTTTACAAAATGCTTTGTGTCTTAATATAATTTTAGTCATATTTAGAGCTGAGAAACACCCCCGTATTGGGTCAAATTCCTTTTGTCTCAGGACCCACCGTCGGCGGACACAAACTGCCCGATGACCGAAGTCCTGTCGCCAGACTCCTGGAAGGTGACTTCGGAGACGATGATGTTGTCTTCCAAAACGGATCCACACCCCGTGCAGACGGCATCCCCCCTGGCTTGGTCAAAGTCAATGTCACTGCAGCCGCAGTTCTTACACACCCCTCCGCTCGCCATGGTGGCCCTATGCGCCGGAATGTGATGCAACCCACACGTAATCACACTACGAGTAGAAACAAAAATATCAAGTAAAAAAGAACCCATGCCATTCACTACAATGTTATGGTATAGAATGTCGACTCTATAGTGCTGTTAGGTTGATAAAATATAAATTTTACCGCAGAGAAATCTTAGCTTGCCCTCCCCACGTTGGTTCGTAGTGCAGTCCACAAGTGGAAGTCAAAACGAGGCGCGATCTTGATCCCAGGATAATGAATGAATCTAAGAGCCAGAAATTACTAGTACATATATAAACACAAATAAGTAAAACATGAATAGGTTTCTTCGGATGTTCATGAATCCAGTAGCTGAATCAAGTATGTGTTAGAAATGTCGAAGTCGTGTAATATTCAAATCACGCATGACAGCATTATTACAGTGCTGGGGACGAGTTTTAATGAAGATCACGTGACTGATATCACCCGGCCCCTGATTATTCATTTACAAGACAACGTCAGGGAAAGGCGGCAGAAAGCGTTTGGGTAAAGAAAAGTCTACTAGTTTCGTGTCAGTATCTTCACCATGAGCGCGAACGACCTTGATAAGGCGGAGCAGGGAGCCGCCGAGAAGCTGAATAAGCCCGAGAACGGGAGTCCTGAGGACGGGAAGGCTGCGGATGGCGGGCTGGACGCGGACGAGGTGGAGCCCAAATTGGCGCCCTTCGCGGGAATGGGGAAGGAGGAGCTCCTGAAGGTTTCCTCGGAGCCGTTCTGGGTGTACCTCCGCTGGACCCTGCTCATCCTGTTCTGGCTGGCCTGGATCGCCATGCTGGTGGGCGCCATCGTGATCATCGTGACGGCCCCGCGGTGCGCTCCGCGCCCCGAGCTGCAGTGGTGGGAGAATGGCGCCTTCCTCCGCGTCTTCACACGCTCTTTCAAGGACTCTGATGGAAACGGCATTGGCGATCTCAAAGGTACTACTATACTGCTAACCTTCTCATTCTTAACTTGTTTTGGTCTTCATCCATGTATAAAGAAGGAGAATTTCCGTCCAGGATTCATACTTTTCAGGATCCAGCTCCTTGATTATTTTTTCAGACGGCAGAAAACGCCCCGTGTGAAAGATACCCCGTCCTGGCCCCAGCAGGAATGCTGTATGCTGACTGTAAATTACCCTTAAATTTACATCTTAGATTAGCATTGGGCGCACGTTTTCTGTCGTACGACTTTAGAATATGAACTAACCAACAATAAAGTGGCTTTGTAGAGCACCAAAGGGATTTGTTTGGCGGACACGAGCTAAAATATGTCCTGTTTCCCTAAAGTTTTTGGAGTGTTGGCAGCTGATTGCATCAGCCCGGATGGACCGGCCAGATGGGTTGTTTAGATTTGCATGCCCCCCAGCGGGCTGGGTGGTGTGTGTTTACTCAAATTACTGTCACAGGATTTTAGGTCATATGACTAGATGCAAAATAGACCAAGGGCTTTATATCAGACAGAACACAAAACTATTTGTGGGCATTTACATTTGCCAACTCAAGTGTTTGAAAATTTAATAGCTTCAAATCATGTGATTTTTTTACTGAGCATGTAGAAAACCATTGAAGTTTCCAATAAACATTTCTTCTGTTCTAGTGGGTGTGGCACATTGTTTACAGCTACACTGTACATCTCCATGAGCTGAACACTTCCCACCAAACCAGCATTGTTAACAAATCTACCATAGTCCATGCATTTCTCACTTATCTAGAGAACATCTGTGCAAGCCCATATGGAAAATAGCGAAAAACACCCGTAGAAAATTTATTCCCCCAATTTTTTTTGTCACAATCTTTTAAATGAAGAAAAAAATCAGGACTTCTTCTGTAGTACTCTAGACATGACAGTTTTTCTTCTCCCCTTAAGGAATTGAGGAGAAGGTGGACTACCTGAAGGAGCTGAATGTGAAGTCTGTACAGGTCAGTCCTGTGTATGCAACAGCCAACTTCACTGATGTGGATCCTGTCTTTGGAACAATAGCCGACTTCGATAGCCTCGTTGCTACTGTGCACGATAAGGGTGAGGAAAACTGATAATGGCAATGACTACATTTCCTTATACATGAATTTGTTGCATCCATTATAACCCCATCAGGATGTTTTATTAATACATACATTTTTTTCAAGGTTGAAGGAATGTTATTAAGTCTTGCCTGCCTGAATGTTTGTTCTCAGGTTTGAAGCTGGTGGTTGATTTTGACCCAAACCACTCGGGCGTTGATCACCCCTGGTTTGTGCAGAGTGCAGCCAGCAAGGCTAATGATAACACCTTTAAGGACTACTATGTCTGGGCTGATGGAGTGGGTGGAAATCCACCCAACAACTGGGTAAGTCTTGTGCACACATTAACATTTCTGGTGTGCTGCAAAACCCAGATGGACCAAATCCCAACATGGTAACAGGAACAACATAGGTCAATCTAGGTTGGCAGACCAGAAAATATGGAATCTCTAATAAATATTCATAGGCAAGACAGTGCAATACTTACATCATTGATAGTCCGGTTGTTTGGGCTAACTTCCTTCAATGAAGTTTTTCCACTCTCATCATCAAGGCTAGCCCTTTGAACAGGGCCCCCTGCCAGACCAGGGCCATACATGAAATTCTATAGCAAACTTAAACAATTAAAATTAAGTGCACAGCTCCAATTTCGGGTGTAGAAAAATACATGACTATGTGTACCTAGGATTTTGAGACCTGTGGTGTGACTACATAACCTTGTTTCTCTGTCCAGCTGAGTGTGACAGGAGGCCCAGCCTGGAACTACAGCGCTGTCCGTGACCAGTGGTACCTCCACACCTTCCAACCCGAGCAGCCCGACCTGAACTTCCGCAACCCTGACGTGCGAGCGGCTGTCAAGGATGCCCTGCGGTTCTGGGCTGCGAAGGGTGTGGATGGCTTCCGCCTGACATCTGCCAAGTACCTAGTGGAGGACGCAGCTCTGACCAACGAACCGGCCAACCCTAACTTCTCAGGGCAACCTGGAGAGGTGGGTTTAGGACTATAATGTATATGGTATAGATGATCCTTCTCAGTGTCCAGTTAGCCTGCTTGGAGGCCTTTGCTGTTCCCAGCACTAACTTGGTTATGTTCATGAACCCACTGTACGTAAGTCTGCATATATGAACCAGCTTCATACTGACACTGATGGAAAACTTGGCTCTAGTCATTGCCTTTTTGGGTTTACTGACTCAACAGTTCTTGTTAGTTCTCTCCAGTACGATATGCCTACACTAGTCGCATCTCACTGAAGTACTGGCTATCATGCTGTCCTGCAGGTTACTATGGGTAACCAAAAAAAGCTCATTGTTGTTACTTTCTCTCCCCAGTATGACAGCCTGTCTCATCCCTACACCACTAACCTGGACGAGACCCACAGCCTGCTGCAGGAGTTCCGCACCACGCTGGACGAGTTTGCTAAGGATGGAGACAGCTACAGGTAAGGACAGGTTCTCCATACAGGCACACAGCAACTGGCCTGCAGGATTCAATAGAGACACTGCCTACAGGATTCAGATCTCAATACAGGCACACAGCCTACAGATTGTACAGTTTCACAGAGGAGATTAGAGGCATAGGTTTGTGTGTGTGGTATTCAGGTAGTCATTTTAAGTAAACGAGATATTTCAGAGATGCTATTTGTGTGTTAGTGTGAAAGTTAATCCATTTGAGCATGTGACAGAATGACCCAATCTCTCAGTCATGTGACCCTTAAGGCCATGTACTAGTATCATGTTTTACTCCCAACAGGCTGTTGGTAACAGATGTGATGGACACCAACATCCGACAGGTGGTGAAGTACTACAGCTCCAACGGAACTCGCGAGGCCGACATCACCCTGAACTATAACCTCCTGGGTCTGCAGGGAGGCGGAGACAAACCCGGGAACAAGACCTTTGGCACCATCCAGAGCTGGTTGGACAACCTGCCTGACGGCAAGCGCGCCAACTGGATGGTAAAATGTCTTCTGTTTCCTTACACTGCTCGCCCTTTATGTAAAGGATATGTGTATAGCTGGGGTCTTGCTACTGACAACAACAAAATAAGGATTGAAATCAAGATTGTAAGATGAAAAAGTCCTCCTTCCTACCCCTGGTATTGGTAAATGATAACATGGATCAGTTAGATGTTCAACATCATTTCTGGAAATTGGCACTGTCAAAACGTAGTTGGGGTTTACTAGGGTTTTCCAATTGTTCTAAAAGGGTCCTGCTATAAGTTACACAGCATACACATCATCGTGACGAATACATATACACATTCTCTTGACATAATACCACATAATTTGAGGTTTCATAAGTAGAACATAAATGATTAAGACATAATTCCTGACTGTTCCAGATTGGTAGTGAGAGCAGTTCCCGTGTCGGTGGCAGCCTGTATGCACGTGCTGCTAACCTGCTGCTCCTGCTGCTGCCTGGCACACCCATCGCTTACTACGGGGACGAGATCGGGATGGCAGATGTAAGTTTAATCTCTATCAAAGTCAGAGGTCAGCTTCTAGAAGTATTTCCCCTCAATTAATGGAGGAGCATGTTTCAAAGGAGATGTTTCATTTTGTATCTATTTGTTTGTGTGTGTGTGTGTGTATATTAACGGTAGTGTCTTGTCGAAGTTGTAGTACAAAGTTGACATTTGTGTACCCCCCACCTCACCCTGTTCAGGTGAATGGCCTGAGCACCAGCCCCATGCAGTGGAACAATACAGACAACGCAGGCTTTACCAACCCTGGGGTCACACCGTGGACACCACTCAGTCAGAACTACACGACTGTCAACGTTGGGGTATGTTCACTACTCCTAGCTCTTCTGCAAAATAATTTAATTTCTTGAACTATGCTGCAGTAGTGCTACTTGCAAAACATGCATCTCATTTGTGTGTTACGTTCCTAGTATGTATCTGAATAGAATGAATAAAAGAAAATATACTCATTTCATCCCTGTATCCAATGTTAATGCCATCTATAAAGTCAACCTTGTGTGACCCTTCCTGGTGACTTATTCCCCACCATGTTTTCCCACCAGACCCAGAAGCAGGACGACTCCTCATTCCTCAGCATGTTCATGGCGGCCGCCAAGCTGCGAGATGAGGCTGCTTTCCAGTGGGGTGGCTTCAGCAATGCCCTCACCACCGACAACGTGGTCTCGTTCAAACGGGAGCACGCCGGTGCAACCAGCTACCTGGTAGCAGCCAACCTGGGCGGGGCAGCAGCAAGCCAGGACTACACCGCTGCAGGGCTGCCGGAGGAGGGGACCGTGGTGCTCAGCTCGGGGATGAACAGGAAGGACGAGAAGCTGAAGCTGAACAACGTCATGCTCCAACCTGGAGAGGCGCTGGTCCTGAGCTACTGAAGGACCACGTGAATGTTCTGCCACTTATGCCTGTTAACACGTGCTGCATGATAGCTCAAGGAAGCTTAGCACGTCTAGTACTTAGGATTACTGGTGTAACTTATGGTTTTGGAAGATAAGTATACTGACTATAACACTGCTGGTGATATTTGTGTGGAGGTATGGAACTAAAAAACATGTTAGCAGACCCAATGTAGAACATTTACTATAGCATCTGCAGCTGTATCTCATGTGAAGCACATATATGGAGCTGGAAAACAACCATGTAAACTTATGACTGTTAAAGAAAACAGACATCTTGAGGTTCAGAAGTGGTACACAAGGAGGAGACATCTGGTGTTAGAGTTACATGTATTGGTAGAGACTACAGGAAATATGGTTGGAGTGCCAAGGCTGTAGAAACGATTACATGTTACGTGAAAGCATGTAGTAGTCTTCCAGAGTTTGTAGTTCTGTGGTTGCAAAAGTACTGGTAACTCAGCATTAGCAGGTCTTCCTTTATGGCAAGTGGCAGAACCAATGAAATAAAGTGATCACAACTAACACGAGTCTTGTGAAGCTTCTGTTGCCTATACATGTACTTGTTTTCAGGGGGGGGGGTATTATATGCTGTATATATTCTTCTGATGGGTACTGTGGTTATCTAACGAGCTGGTAATTTTTCTTGTCAGGACAGCTTTGAAAAAAATTAAAAATTAGTTAGACACTTTAGAACAAGTGCATTTCAGAACCCACCATATCAACCAAACTACGAGATGCTTAGTGTGCTTTCAAAATGTACCACGGGCAGGGGAATGGCCGGAGGTGGTGAGGCCGCACCTAGGTCAATCATATGGTGGGAAAGATGACTTGAAATCTCCAAGCAGAGCTTTCGATGGTTGCAGAGCAGGTATCAAATTATTGGCCAGACGATATCCATTTGCCAGATAGTTAACGTTACCATTTGCCACCGCGGCTGAGGAACCTAGATGGCCAGTTTTAAACCTAACGGTTTTGACGCCGGACATCCGCTCGGAGATAGCCTGGGTGCCATTCAACCCCTCGGGTTGAATGGCACGTTGCAAATCCGATTATACCCAGGCTAGTTTCGAGATTCATGGGGGAATGTTATCCAGCCGCCCGCGCAACTCATTAGCGGAGATCAACCAATCACAGGCGGAGAGGAAGCTAAACCAATCACGACCGGGAGTGGAAACTTTTCCCAGCTGCCCCGCGAAACGCTTGATAGCCGGTATTAAACGTGGACGAATTTTTGCCGTGACTCCCGCACAATTTTTCGCCTGATTCTGTGGTGTTTTAAAGCTTTATCCTGGGCACTGGACACCCCGTCACTATGCCGTCCAACGCAGAGTTCGGCTTCAGCGTTATGGTTGGCGGACACGTCATTCCCGAGTACCAGAAAGACCGGGAGGTTTTCGTGGAGACCAACTTGTACAGCCCCGTGTCTTACAAGGAAAAGGTGGTCTCTTCTCACAGAAAAGTGGTAGATTTGATAAACATCAGAATGGCTAATGATCTAGAAAATCTGGAAACACTTGGTTGGAGTCATAAACCTTATAAAAACACGTGTCATCTGACATATTGGGAAAACCTCTTGGATTGGTAGCTATCCAAAACCTCTTTTTTATACCACAGATCAGCTGCCACAGATATACATGTACATAGACATTCGTAAACACGACTTCCTTTGTGTGATTGGGTAGAGCAGGTTTTTGGCAGGTAGGAATGTGAAAGTTGATGCTTTCTAAATGTACGTCCACATCTTGTATTACATAGCAACAGAATGATAAGTTCTCCCCTCCACAAAAGAGGTTCAAGATGTAGTCACCCATACTCATTGTTTGATAAATACCTCAGAAATAGCCTATTCCGAAAAATAGATTAAAAAAGCCATGCAAGTCACATGGTCCAACACATTTTCCCCAATCAAATAGTAACAATAACTTAAAATTTCTTTGATCTTTGGAAATTAGATAGTGGTTTATAGGATTCAAAAGAAGAGAAACAGTATTTTCTAGTGTTATTCTCCCCATGGGGCTAAAGTGACTGACTGTATCTGTATTGGTATAGCCTGTATAACCGCCCTTCAGCATAACACACCAGGTTAACAAACTCTATTTTGTATCTCGCAGGAAGAAGTAGTAGTGGACGGACAGACAGAAGTGAACGAGTGGCCAGTGACTCCCTACACGATAGAGATCACCACCCATCCCCACGCACCCCTGGCTCGCTACACCATCAGTGTTGACGGCTTTGTCGTCACCAAGGTCGTGCTCACAGGAGGACAGTCCAGGTACGTCACGTATGTATACATTGTACTACTATTAGTATTAACAAGATATCAGATTTTTTTGTGAATTTTTTTTTTCATTATTGTGAATTTCTCTGTCTACCTCTGGTTTTCCCATCTGGTGTCTGGTCAACAGACTTCCAAATCAACTTCCTGCTGAAGAAAGAAATGCCCCATGGTTATAAGAGCAATTGCTGTTATTGTTAACATAAGTTATTGGTAGGTACAATGTATATACAAACTATTGGTAGGTATGTGTAAATTTGGGTAAATTGTTGTTAGGCAAATCACCCAGCTACCACTTACTTGCTGTGACCTCAAAGTGATCGCTTGTATTGTGTTCCAGCTGGGATGAGATCAAAGGCCATCAAATGTGTGTGCTCCTGTATCTGTATCTGTTTAAATGTCTGTTTCACAGGGTGGTGAAGGGCTTTCACGATAACGAGAAAGGCGGCCTCGCCAGCTTTGTGTTCTCCCTGCCAAGATATGCCAAGAATGAGGCAAGTGAACCACTTTTAGCTCGCATGTTCTGCATGACATAGTAGTCCTGGACAGGTCGATGTGACGTCCTGCTTCTAGGACAGGTTCAACATGGTGATGTCCATTTACAGTAAAAAGGCTTATTTTGGGGACCTAGAATATCATAAAATACAACGACCTTTCTTCTCCACAATTTGTGAACAGAGTGCTGACAGAAGACAGCAGAAACTAGGGGATGTGGGAACCATCAGGGTGACGAGCAATGATACCTGGAAAAAGTGGCTGTACGATCAAAAGCGCATCACCAAGGGGCACAAGGGCACACCGTTTGTTCCAGCCACTAAGAGGGACGCGCTTGCAGTGACCAGTGGTTGGTAGAGTTTAGATACATATAGCACTGATATCTTCATTGCAGCTCTATTGGTGAGGATAACTACTCGTGTCTAATCCCTTTGAACATGCAATACAGAGGGACTGGTCTATTTCAAAAAGACTCATACAAATACAAAATGTATTTTGAAATCTAATAACATTCTAGTTTATGACTTTGATCATGTATGTTATCTTGTAAATGAAAGACACCATGATATACTGAGACAAAGAGATACCTGGTATACAATATGAAAACTGAGTCTGAGGAGAAAGTTTTAGTAAAACAGTTTCAGGGAGTGAATTTCCTACCAGCCCTCTGCTTTCATTTTCATCCACACCTTTAGCTATTTATTTTCTCTAAAATGTCTGAGGAACAAGAAAATTAACTGGTATGGAATGAGGAAGAGACCTGTAGAATCCTGATACAGAGGTTTTTCGTTAACATTATAATAATTATGATGTGAACCTAATGTGAACTGTTTGCGGATTAGTCACTAAGTTGACTACAGCAGCAGCATGTTTAACAGACATACACTGTAATACATCATGACCTAGAGCTGTGTACCTAAACAAATTTTAGGTACAGGTACAGGTACACAGGTTTAGGTACAGGTCCGGACCTGAACCTGTACCTGAACAATTCGACCAATTTATATGCTCTTCTGAACTCCTTCAATAACAAAAAAACATAAATAAACTTGATAGTTAAGGTTTATTCTTTGTTTATGGCGAATGCTCAGATAAAATATAGGCAAAACTAAGATGTTTTTGTTTTCATGAACACACTGTCCTTACACAGGCACCCATTGTTAACCAGCTATTTAAACATTTGAGGTCACAAATAGGCATAAAATTAGTGTGAAATTGTTTAGGTACAGTACCGGTACTGAGGGATTAGGTATTTTGGACCTGTACCTAATCAATTTTTCCGGTACAGTATCGGTACTGCGTACCGGTACACAGCTCTATCATGACCTCATATGTATAACTTCCTTGTGCTCTGCCCTACAGGTCAGTACACCATGGTGACCACTCGGATGGGCCAGAACATTCCTGTGGCGGGCAGCTGGGCCAGCTTTGTCCGCAGGTGGAGGTGGACCACGGGCATGACTCGCGGCGTGCTGGAGGTCAAGTGTCGCACAGAGGACGCCATCAGGGAAATGGGGTTCCAGATCCAGCCTTATCCTGTCATCTTATCCATGAACAACAACATCCCAGATGGTACCAGCAGGGAGGTGAGGCAAGCAAGCACCGGGGATCTAGAGATTCAGCTGCATCCTGTGAACAACAACAAGGTGGGAGAAGTCCCGACAGCTAGCGTCAGCAGAGGGGTTCAGTATTCTAGTGTGGATGGTTGGGAGATCCCATGCAATCACAGCTGTGAAAGCACTGTGGTGAACCCAGCTCCAGAATCGGAAACGTTCGACAACACCAACATGGGTGCATCCAACATCCAGGTGGAGATGAATTTGCTCAATGGTGGGAGCCGAAGGGTCCAGCTGCCTGAAGACAGTACAGCTAGAGATGCCCAGGTGAAACCATTGGAATCTTCTGTTGAAGAAACAGCCATGACCGACATGGAGGTAACAGAGTTGTCTGGAAGCACAGAGCCAGGACCAGGTGCCATGGAAACCACAGCCTGCAGCGCCAGTAGAGAGGTCAAGGCTGAGGACTTGGTGAAGAAGACAGAGGAAGATTCTGAGTACAAACCTAACATCTGGCAGTTACAGCACGAACTTATCGATCTCACGGCTGATGACGAGCCTGAGGTAGTTGACCTTACAACTGACAACTACCTCCCAGATGTCTACGAGGTGAAGTTCACCACTAAGATTGAGGTGGTCTACC